CAGAGAACAAAAAAAGCACAATTTAGAGGGAAACCAAAACCCTGGCTCTCAGTCTTTGCCTCATGGATCAGAATAGATGTCTTGCAGGAAATGACCCAACCTGCCATGCACTGCTGACACTACATTATCACCTTTCTCAGAATCTTTGCAGGGATTTCCTCCTCTGATTTTCTCCCAAGTCCTGAACAACTTCACCCAGGTCAGTATTTCTGTTCCAAGCTGTTCTCTTTCATTCCTACCTAGGCCCTAATTTTGCTTTTCCTCCCTACCAACTGCTCTTCTGGCCTCCTCATATGCTCCTCATTCAATTTCTGGAATTGGGCCATTGCTGTCCTTTCAGAAATGGCAAATATTGTCTTTTTTTCCCTTTTCAGTTACACGCTTCTCTCGTGGGATCTTTTTCTCTTCAGTCCCTTGTAAACCATGCCTGCATCCCTTTGCATTGCAGCTGTAATGTCAGGCACTGCCACAGGAAACTGTAACCTTCAGATTAAAGTAACTCTGCTTTTTATATTTCTTGTCACATATGTAAGCAGTGGAGACAATGTCAGTAACAGAGCTAGAACAAAAAAACTGCAAAAAACAAGGGTTCAATATTTCCCAAAGCTCCTTTAACTACTCACCATCACTAGTCATACAACTGAGAATCTGAAGCAAGAAAAAAATTGGGATAATGTGACTAAAATTCACACAAAGGGAGGCAACAGGCAGGCAGAGGGCTGTGATTCTGCAAGAGCAGTGCAGGATCTACACTGAGAAAATGACACTTTACCCTTTAGGAAGGAAAAAGGAGCCACCACTTTCTGGCACCACCTGCTCGCTTCCCTCAGCACCTCTGGGGTTCTGCAGCAGCCACAGTGATGCTGAATAATGACAATAAACACCTCTTTTACCTCTGGGTTTATCACCTCTTTTGGTTGCTGTGCTTCCTGTCACTGTGCTAGTTTGAGATGAGGAACTGGCTGTTCAGGGGGACAGCAGGGAGGTGTCCTTTTTTGCACAGTTTGTCACTGTACATTCATTCTGATGCCTGTTTTCTTAACACAACCCACAGCAGGCTCTTACGTTCCCTTTCAGGGGGAATTTTCTGGTCACCTGTAATTATTTATCAACTTTCTAATTCCTGCAAAGTGATACCAGTAGTTATTTCTCACCACTGAATCGTTCCAGGTGAGCTGAGCAGGAATTTATGAGCATTTCTGCAGAATGGAAGATAGTTTTGCTAAAACTGTATCACAATTGCCAGAACATCCATAGCTTATTTTTCTTCCCCAATACATGCAGCACAACTCTTTCTGAAGAACCCCTACCCAATTTCTATGTAGGAAGGCATAAAATTTCAGCAGCAAATGTTACTGATTTGCAAAACCCAAGACCTACTGAAAGAGGCAAGTAATTGTATATATCACATTGTCTTCATCACTCTGGAAAAAGAAGTAATCAAACTCTGGAGGGTTTAATTTTACCTACTGCACATTTGTTTGAATATTGATTTTATTTTGCTTTCTACCTGGAAATTTTGGAACAGACATGCCATGGGGTTTGGGTTGTTAGCTGGGCCAGGAATGGGGGGCTGGCCTTGAAAGCCCTGCATGTTCTGATAGCCCTGGAGAAGGTGCTGCTGCTGCTGCTGCTGCTGATTTGAAGGAAACATCTGATTGTTGTTTAATAGCGACTGGAGATGACTCAGCTGATGGTTATTCAAAGTAGTGTTTATAGATGACATGTCACCTGCAATTCAAACACAGGGAAACACAAGTCAGTGGAGTTTTCAACAGCCAGGAGGAATTTCCTCGACTCAGAGTTTAACTGACTGCTGAGCAAATGCCTCTGTAAAACAACACTTTCTCCCTGCAGTCTTCTAGGGAATGCTCCTCAAGGCATGTGTCTCCTACTCTTTATTCCTTCACTTCTTCACTATTGCTTCTTTTTGCATGTCACACATCTCTAGACTTTCTCCAAAAGTCTCTGCCATGAGTATCTTAGCCTCTGGTACAGAGCCAAGCATGGCAGCATGAGCCTCTAGGATATCTGGTGCCTTTCAGTCTTACTCTTAGTCTCCAAAGAGTGACTGCTTCAAACAGCACTGGGGTGGTGAGGGGAAGGAGGAAGGGGGAGAGAGAGAAAGAGAAAATGATTTAAAAAACCCAACAAAACTAGTTTTTTTAATAACTAGGACAAAATAATGGAAGTGCAAACAAGCAAAGGCTTTTTGGCTCACGTCAGCCAACACTCTAAACAATTTTGGGTTTTATATTCTGGAGAAACAACTGTATTAACATTTCATATTACATGAAAATCTCACTTTACATGAAAATTCTAGTTTTAGTAAAATAAATATGCTGTTGAACCTCTGTGAAATAATAAAGCCTAAAGATATAGCCATTTCCTTTTTTTTTTTTATAGCTGATTTTTTTTTTTTAAACATTTCCATCTGTGAAATCATTGGTTAGTTGCATTTTACATGGAAAATGTAAAGCAGGGTTGAGTTCACAACAGCCATTTAGTAGGTAAGCATGAGGTGTGTTAAAATACTTAGCAGCCCTCTGCCACTGTTGAGTTCCTCCTCCTAGTCTACTGATCAGCTTATGTAGATCCAAAGAACAGAGGAGTACTAACTAGATTAAGGATTCTTGGTAAAAATCATCAAAAGGTACAGTAGAAAAAAAATTGTCTTGAAGGGCTTTTCAGTCACTTGTTTTGGGATGTAGGTGATTGCCAAGTGAGATACTCTGGGTTTCTAAACTACAAGCTAAAGTGATAAAAAAAACAAAGAGAAATGAGAAAATATAAATACACAATAAAGGGGCTGGAAGGGCAACCTTCCCCTTTGAAATTGTGCAAGGACCTACTTCAAGTGCTTCATGGGTTACTTTACAGGGAGTCTGCTTACAGTTTTGGCACTTGTGGTTCCTTTGGAAAAAGGCTCTTTGGCCATTTGTCATCTACTGCACAGCCACTCGTACTAACCCTGTGATGCCACACGCACTTGGAACGCTGCAGAGATGCTCCTGTGCCTTCACTACTTGAGAAATGGAACAAGTCCAACTGCCTACAGAATTTTCAGGTGTAAATAGTGGGTCTAAGGTGGCATCAGAATTAAGAACGGAAGATAAAATGATTTCCAAAACTAGTATTAAATGTGACTGAGTTAAATTAGAATGTGTTTTAGATTTCTGACAATAACAATTGTTTTTCTCGATAGAACAAGCTGTGACATACAAAAGCCTTAGGAAAAAAAAAAGTATGATAAAGTGGAGTCTTTAAGAATAGAAACTAGAATCCAAAATTCCCCCTCCCCAACCCTCTTAATTTTTTTTTTTTTTCCTTTTATATCTGTGAAGAAATTGAACTTACCAAGCAGACCTGTCCCCAGTAGAGGGTTAAGTAGCTGTGGCACCACAGAGTTATTGTTGAGTTTAGCTGGACCAGATGTATTCCCAGCATTATTAGATATGTTCAGCAATGTTTCTGCCATTGACACCACTGCTGTCCCACCACCCAGGGTTGAGACAGACAGTGCTGCCACTGCTGGTGATGTAGTGGTTGTGGTAGTGGTTGCTTGGGAGGAGGTGGCTATGGAAACCTCTGGATGATTAGCGGTGTTGCCCGATGCAGAGTTCAGGACACCTCCCACCAGCTGGGGATTCAAGGCCATTAATGCTGAGGCCCCAGAGACAGCTGGGAGGAGCAGGGGGTTAGAAGTAGTGTCAGTGCCTGAAAAGCCTGGTATGGGGTTGCCCAGGGGGTTGGTTAAAAGGGTCTCCACCCTGTTGCTTTCTGACTGATTGCTTGGCAAATGGTCAGGTGGGGCTGTCATCTGGGTTACTGAGGGTAAAGGGTTATTTTGCTGTTGCAACAGATCTGAGATGGTCAGATTGAAAGATGGTAGGGGAAGCATGGCAGCTGCTTGGGCTTGGTTCTGAAGGAGGGTTGCTAGAAGCTGGAAATGGACAGGTTGTAATACCTGCCCATCCACGTCACTGGAGAGAAAAGCTAAAGCAGCATTTACATTCGGGTTGAGAAAACCTAAAGGGTTGAGGTTGACCTCAGACTTGCCTTCTCCTGCTGATATTTAATAGATTCTGGTTTAGGAGATGTTGCTGATTCACTGGCAAAGAGATAGGCAGAGAATTGAGGAGGTTTTGATTCAAAGAATGTGGAAGGTTGTTGTTTGAAGAGCTGTTCTGCGGAAAATGAAGCGAGTGTTCGTGGCCAGCGAAGGGGAAGTCGCCCCCGATGGGCAGCTGGCTCTGAAGTGGGTTTCCAGCTGCAGTAGTGACTATAACACCATCCTGAAGCACAGATGTTGTCTTTGTGATGGCAGGTTGGCTGGTGCCAGCTATGGCTATTGATGATGATGGTCCTGAACCCCCTGTAATGCAGAAGAATGAAAATATTAATAGTTTACAGCCTGCTGGGAGATAGTCATCAAAGTAACAAAGCATCTAGGTTGGTACCCATGCACAGGAAGGAAAATGTTTTGAGCATCCAGACCTGAGTGTTTTTAAAAGATGAAGGTATCTGCCATCAGCTGCTGAGATACCATGTGCTGTGCCACATCTCACTAGAAATTATTTAACCAAATATTCGTATTTCCCTTAAATTTCTGCTGAATGGGGATCTAATAAGATGTTACTCATCACATATTTTGATCAGCATAACCCTAAAAACCACTGTAAATTAATGTAGTTACTCATGGACCAGTATGAAATGAAGTACTAGAAGGAAGAATCCATGGGAGACATGAATGATGCTGGGTGAAAATGTGAGTACAGGATCTACATCTAGATGTAAAACTTTTGCTCTTCTATTTCCTGCTCTACTCCTTTAATGGGGGTTTGGAGAATTATTATTTAAAGCATTATAAAAGAAATAATACAATGATGATGAATACGTGTCATGATGATGCCTATGATAAAATCTAAAGAACATATTATGGTCAAGGTAGGTAGGTTAGCAGACAAAACCCACCAATACTTTATAAAGAAAAAAAATTGTAAATAATTGGTGTGGACTAGTCATATCTTGGGAAGACAACAAACCCACTGGCTATATGCACTGTGAAGGGGCTACATGGAAAGAGGGAGAGAATAATAAAGTTTATTTGGGTGGTTTTATACCCCTTTACTAAAAGTGTAAAATAAATTATTCATTGCCTTCTACTTCTGGCAGTCTTGAACTGACACTGGTCATACACAAAAAAAGCTATGAGGGGAGACTAGAGGTATCAAAGCAAAGGAAATTGCCTTGAACTATGCCTTTCTACCTCATTGTGATTCACTGGAGGACATTTACATATTAAAACTATGTACTGCATATCAAACTGTATAATTATAAATGTATTTAACTATGCTTTTGATGCAATATTTTTCCATTCTCAACTGTCCTGCAAGTAGAGCTCATATGATAGAAACCAGAAGGCATTGAACATGAGCTATAGGAGCCTATGATTTTGTGATGATCAGAAAGTCTCAACTACCATTTTTCTGAACAAATACTATCTGAAAAGGGATGAGCAACTCTGCTGCTGACTAGTAAGAACAGAATCAAATCTTTACATCATTTGTAACTTAAAATGACATTTTTCAAGTATCGTAACGTTACAACTCAGAAAGGTTCAAAATTAACACAGCACGTGAGGCACTGCAGTCAACTCCTGTGAAGAAACATCACACCCCCTCTTCTCCCAGGTACCATTATCACATTTCAGCACAGAAATTAAACAGTAAATTAAGAACAGATAAAGAACAAACTGTAATCACAGAGCAGAGGATATCCTATTCTGCTGTGATGAGAACTATGTTAACAAAGCCATAAAAGCAGCTCCACGGCGAGTACATTTATCTAAGCAGCAGTTTGGAACAAAACCCAAATAAGCATTTGAGGAACAAAAACCCAACCATGCACTGAAAATCTATGTCCCACTGGATTTCCACTTCCAGGTTTGTGTTTAACGTTTCAGATGAGGCAGGAACAGTAAATGCTTTTACATCCTGACACCTCCAGGCCTGGCAACTGCCCCATACACACTGAGAAGCTGAGAACTCCCTGGTTCCCCAGCTCAGAAACACAGACCTCTAAACCAGACACCTTCCTGATAAAAGTCACTGAAAAGCTGCCAGTCAGACAAGTTGCTCAGAAATTATTCAAGAAGAATATTACCCAGAATTATTAAGATGTAGGTAGTCACAGCAAACCTATGGGTAGAGAGGGATGAAAACACCAGCTATGGCAAGTGCCCAAGTATCTGTCCTACTACTGGTCACCTCATTCTGGAGAGAAGCCACATCTGGCAACGCCTCCAAAATGGAACACAACAGAAAAAATAAAGGTCCTACCAAGCACGTGTTTGCACATCAAGACACACAGGACCTGAGATGACACATTAAATGTAAATCCTGGCTGCTCAAATTCAATTACACAAATCCCCGAGAGCCTCAACTAAAATACAACTTCACACCAACTTTTTTTTTACTGATCCCTGAAATATTTTAAACTGTGTTTTTAGAAAAGCAACAGAAAGGTCTTTATCATTTTTGTGGCTAAAATCAAATTGTTTTTGTTTCACTGAAGAAAACAAACCCCCCTATAGCAGTTTCAATAATGTGTATGACCAGCCTGACACAAGAGTTTAACCATCAGGTGCCTGTTTGCTCACAAAAAATGAAAATTTCATTTTGTTTGTTTGTTTTATTCAAATCAGTGCCCAGAACTGACACTCCGTGGGTTTATAGATTAGGTCAAGTCCCAAAGACCAAAGCACAGATTTAAAAAACACCACTGCAAAGTCATTCCTGTATGTTTTTAATGGCAGAATCTGCACCACTGTGACAACACAGGATGGATGCCTTCCACACTTAAAAGTACATGGGGCCTCAAATAATGTTGGTTGAAAAATTGCTCACTGAACTCAGAGTAAAGAGTTTTTGGGAAACTCTTTACTCCTGAAATAAGAGAAAGACAGATAAAGAAGCTTTTTCCCCAGTAGCTCAGAAAGGCTTCCCCCACTAGCAGCCATCGTATTCAAGGTGTGAAGCAGCTCCTGGACAGCTCTTTAATTCAGGCACGAGGAGATTATTCTATACATAGAGCTCTCCTGAATATAAACTCTAATTTTGGTATTTGTAAGTGGACTTGTTCTCTGTTTTTAATTTATAAACCTATTTTTCATTCCACGCAGGTAAGTGACCACACAGAAGAGTATTTATTTTCTGAGGCATATCTCCAACTTGTAAAATTGTTGCTAGGTTTTCTGTCAAACACTGCTTGGTTTCCAACCCCTGCCAAACACTGCTGCTGGAGACCTAACCTGAGAGCTCTAGAGCACATTCAACATTCACCCTTCCTCCAGATTAATGAGGCAACTAATTAATTGCTACTGGGAGAAAAAAAAATCTTGATGGATTCTGAGTAGGAGGAAGAAAATGTGTCCACATTTCAATCCAGGCTTGAGGAGTCTTGGAGCAGAAGAGGAGATAACAGCCAGACTTCAGCAGGGAACAAAACCACAGGCAAATATCTCCCCAGCTTCTGTCAAACTTGCCTCACAGAAGGACACAGTAGGAGCTGGTGTAGAAAAGACCTGAACTGGGTAGTAGCTAATATTTATATACAATATTTACAGCTGAATTCTGGGACAAATCTATCTCCAGCAGCAGAGTGAATTGCCACTATATGATTTCTGGATCTCTTCCAAAATGCCATCTCCAACAAGTTAATATTCCAGATGAAGAAACCCACTCTGATTAAAACATAGTGCTGCTAGACATCTTCTGAATGTTTGGTCCCAATCCAAGAGACAAAATCAGAATGATTTGTTCCCCTTTATAAAACCTGCATAATTTCCATAATTGTGATGGATGGCACTGCATCTACAAGGTGCAGAATTCTGCCTTCCTCTGGGAAGAGCATGACAGCCCCCAGAAAGCTGCCTGAACTGAGGGCCCCAGTTTCAAAAGGAAATCTCCAAGACCTGGGACAAATGTGAGCAGTCTTGCCTTTCTGACTCACAAGGAGACCAGGTGCCATGAGAAGAAAGGGATGCCCAACTTTGGGAGCATGAAGATGTGAAGAGTTCTCTGAAACAGCATGGGAAAATCATAGGATGGTTTGGGTTGGAAGGAACCTTAAAGATCATCCAGCCCCAACCCATCTGTCACAGGCAGGGACACCTCCCACTAGACCAGGTTGTGCAAGGTCCCATCTAACCTGGTCTTGAACTCCTCCAGTGATGGAGCATCCACAGCTTCCCTGGGCAGCCTGGACCAGAGTCTCACCACCCTCATCATGAAGAACATCTTCCTGATTTCTAACCTAAATTCCCCCCTCTTCAAGTTTGAGCCCATTATCCCTTGTCCTATTTCTACAAGCCCCTGTAAAAAGTCCTCCCCAGTTTTCTTGTAGGCTCCCTTCAGATATTGAAGGGCTGCAAGAAGGTGCCCCTGGAGCCTTCTCTTCTCCAGCCTGAACAACTCCAGCTCTCTCAGCCTGTCCTCATAGGAGAGGGATTCCAGCCCTCTGATCACCTTTGTGGCCTCCTCTGGACTCGCTCCAACAGGCCCACAGAATTTAATGTCCCTCATCAAAGCAACAGTAGAAGCTCCACTGTGACTACCAGAGGAGACAAGTCCTAATAAGAGGCCCATCCCTTCACATAGTAGCACCAAAGAGTAGCAGTGACAACCTGGAACATCCTCTGGATGTCCCTTGAGATCTGTCTTTCATTCCAAGTCATCTCTAGATCCATACATTGTATTTACTAGAGTTTCCAGAGGGCAGATGACAGTGGAAAGCAGATGGTGGGTGTCAGCTGAAGGAAGACCCTGATGCAAACCAGCTGTCTTGGCCAGCAGTGCTGTGAGGGAAACAGGGCAGCAGTTCTGATCACTCACACTTCCTTCAGGCCTGGAAAGGATGACAGCCAGCAGCAAAGATGCACCACAGCACCAAAGAGTTTCTTACCCAAAACTCCAGCATGAAACAGCTCCTCTCTACTGTCTCCAGGCTCTGAGATGGCAGCTGGGAGACTTTTGGTGAGAAATGCCAATGGCACTTGAAAGCTAAAAGGAAATCACAAATTTGATTCCCAGTTTCATGACAACATGGCACTTTGAAGCCTGGAAACTCAAGGCATTGTACATGCCTTTAGCTCAGCAAACAACAGTCCCTTATAATCAGAAGCTCTTAAGAGTAAAGGAAGAATGAAGAAGAGCTGAAGGAGGAGGACTAAAAGCCATACAAGCTGAAGATAAATGCTGGCTTCCAGCTCCTGCAGACAGAGACGTCTGCCAAAAGTTCTTTTGCCAGTTGTTGAGAAAAAGGAACTGTCTTTGTGATGCAGTGAGAAGAAGAAATATCCAGAATGCTGAAAAA